AGCTCCTCACAAGCATGTCCAGTGGCTAACCACTCACAAATATGTCCAAGGGCTTGTCTGCCAGGTAATTCCAGATCCTGTCAAGGTGACTGTATTAAGCATCTCAAGAATTAATGGTTAAATATATTAAAGTGCAACAGTTTAGAGCTTTTGTTGGTTTAAAAGACATGATTAGACTTATGAAATTATCCTAAATTGTTTTTGCAAACATAACAATACTACTGGCTTACAAGTAAATTGTTGGGGGGGGGAGAGTCATCTTCCACTAGATGTGATGGTACAGTGAAGGAAAGAACAAAGGGTTAGTATTTGTGATGGAAAAAATGTAGGGAAAAGACATTATACAAAGTTGAGCAATGGAGTAGAGCAAAGACCAGGATAACTTCCAGTTAAGTAGATAATAAGAAAACTGAATACTGCTCCTCATACAAATCCTTGAGGTTTTAATGGAAAGTCTGTGGTTTTAGAAGAAACAAGTACTTACTGCACCAGGAAAGGAGAATGACCTTAAAATAAAAATAAGACCAAAACCCCCTAGGACAATACAACTCTCTTACATGTTCTGTGTTTAAAACATATCTAGAGTAGAGCTACATCTTCCTACAGTATGTTCTTCACTCAATCACTACTCCTCACACTGTGCAGTTGCTTCATCCTAGATTCCTTAAAACACTGATTCTTCCTGTTCCTTATCCCCATGCATTCAATAACATAACTCAAGCTTTCAGTTCTCTATTACTATATGTGACCCTCTCAACTTGTGTTTTATTTTCCCAGAATCACTGAACATTACAGAATATTCACAATAACTATAATAACAAGTTTTTAAATTTTATAGGACTTATATTAGTTAGTCCTATATGTTATATTCTGTAATGATTGTACCTGTGTATTCATTTTGATCAGTATGTAAAAACATGTATAACATTTTGATCAGTATGCATAAACATAACTAACATGTAATTAGTTTTCTAAGTATTTGGATTATTTGTTCCTGTTACCCTTTCTCATAAACTATAAGGTTTGGTAGCTCTGTATTATTAAATCTTTTTACCGTTGAAATAAACCATAATCATTAATAAATTATCCTGTCATTTGTTACTATACAGGCGTTCACTGCCCGCAGTTATTGTCTATTTTTTATAAGTGAGGAAACTATTAAATAAAATATATAGCTTGTCTAGCATGAGGTAGGGTGAACTATAGAACTGGGCTATTTGTAGTTTGTCATATGGGAAATTACATATGTATGACTGTAGCTTTTTCCTCTGCATTTAGCCCCCTGACCTCCAAAAGGAAGGAGGTTGTATAGCAGTAAATAAATAGTTGTTGGGAGGAGGAGACTCCAGTGGTACTACCTGTACAATATACAGTGAACACTAGTGAAGAAGCTGTGGTGAGTCATCACTCATGCTCCTGTAATTAATTCTCCAACACTCACCCAGCTAGACTTGAAATCATTTCTTTAGTCTGTAGTCTATACCCTACCTAAGGTGAAGTGATATTTGTCATGTAATAGGGTAGCGTAAAGTTTATTTGAATCCAGAACCAGGGATGAGCACCATCAATATAACCTAGGAGCCTGTTAGAAAGCAGACTATCAGGTCCCACTTTACAGTCCTAAATCATAATCTGAATTTTAACACGCTCCTCAGATAACCTTATATACATTGAAGTATTAGCAACAGTGAACTTATACCACTTAATGTGAAAGAGAAAGAACACAACCTTCAACCTATATATAGTATGACTTGACAACAGATGCACAGAGGTGAGATACTCAGAGAAATAGGATTGTTATCAAAAGTAGGACACTGTATCAAAAGTAACTCAAATGGCTACAGTGGATTATAACTCTATTATCATAATCAGTCAGAAAACTGGAAGCTTTCCAAGCTTTGCAAATACAGCTTTTAAAGAAGTATACAGAATAAGAGTATATGTTAACTGTTGCTAGATCACAAAAGTAAGAAGCCTGGGGAATGAGCCAGTAACTCATATCAGAAAATGAAAGTTGATTCTCCAGGTAATGCTAAAATGGAAGCCAAAGGTTTTAAAGCTTCTATGAGTTTGAAGGCTCAAGTAAGCTATGTGTAGCGATGTACACCTCTAATCCTAATATTTGGAAGACTGGGGCAAAGGGGCTACCCCAAAGTCAAGGTCAGCCTGGGATACACAGTAAAACCTAGGCTAGCCAGTAATACACAGTACAAAACAAAGCAAAAGGTTCAAAGAAATTCAAATTAGAAAGAAGCCATAATCACAGAAATGGAAGAATTTTTTTTCTTTCTGTTTTTGTTGTTGTTGTTGTTTGTTTGTTTTTTAAGACAGGGTTTCTCTGTATAACATTCCTAGCTGTCCTGAAACTAGCTCTGTAGATCAGGATGGACTCAAACTCACAGAGATCTGCCTGCCTCTGTCTCCCAAGTACCGGGATTACCAAAGGCACAACTTCACTTATGGGCTTTTGAGGGGATGGGGTATATTATGGGGAATTGTCAATGACTTATTAAATTTTGATCACAAGAGAAAAAATACAAGATGTTTACATACATTTTAAGCAGAAAATAACTTTTTCTGGAGTTGGAAAAATATGCATGCAGACAAAACCACCCATATACTTAAAACTTTAAAAATATATTGTAAAAAAATCTTTCAGCATCTCCAAACCCCTATCAGTGCCCAGCTAACATCTCTATGACAGACTTCACAGCACCTCCTTTAACACTGAAGTGTCCTTCTCCAAGACCATTGTGCCAGCATTCTCTAGCTCCTGTCTGGTTTACAGCTAAGGCAGCTGGTACTTTCCAAAATACTCACTTTAAGTCTTGATTTATTGTCTTTCTGTCACAATTACAGGAGTTCACTATTCTGCTTAGTGTTATTTATCATGGAGCTTAGTGCTGAGAACAGTGTGGGGATTCAATAAACACCTGATGAGCAAAGAAATTCAAGAGTACTTTGGTGGTTTGAAAGAAAATGGCCCCCATAGGCTCACAGGAAGTGGCACTACTAGGAGGTGTGGCCTTGTTGGAGGAAGTGTGTCTTAGTTCTCTTCTAGCTGCCTGAAGATCAAGATGTAGAACTCTTGGCTCCTTCTCCAGCACCAAGCCTGCTCGCACGCTGCCATGCTTCCTGCCATGACAATTATGGACTATAAACCTCTGCAACTGTAAGCCAGTCCCAATTAAATGCTTTCTTTTATGAGAGTGGCTGTGGTCATGGTGTCTCTTCACAGGGATAAAACTCCAACTAAGACAAGTACATTGCCAAGAACAAGTGTCAAGACAAAGTGAAAGAGAAAATCAGTAAGTGTTGAAAATTTGAATATACAATCTAACTAGTTTATGAATTTCATGCAAACACTTTTGCTTAGATTTTTATTTTCTATTTGTGTATTTGTAAGACAGAGTTTCACTGTGTAACTCTGGCTGACCTGAAAATCACAATGAAGACTAAACTGGCCTCTAACTCACAGAAAGCTACCTGCTTCTGCCAATCCCGGGCTGATATTAAGAAAGCAGGCATTTTGATCAACTTTGTTGAATTAAGAATGGACACAGTGGGCTGGAAAGATGGCTCTGTGGTTAAGAGCATTGTCTGTTCTTCCAAAGGACCTGGGTTCAATTCCCAGCATCACATAGCAGCTCATAAGTGTCTGTAACTCCAGTTCCATGCACAAAGAATAAAACTAAATAAATTAAAAAAAAAAAAAGAATGGACACAGTTGTATGTTGAGTATAATTTTCATAATACAGCCAAACTTCTGATTGGCCATAAGCCTTTAACACCATAGTAATATTGTACGTGACAAGTTACAGATCAGCCCCTGAAGGTGCTTCAACTGTGCTGTGATTTATTCTAACCCCGGAGAAGTGCTAGTAATAGTGAAAACACATGGGTGACCAGAGTTTTATGTGCTGTTTCCTAAATAATTGACTAAAAGAACCAAAATATTTATTTTAGATGTATAGAAGACGACTTGAAATTCTTTGTCAATCTATGTTTGTGCATTGTATGTATATATTCATGAATACAAGTGTACACAGGTAAACAAGTAATTGTGTTCAGGTGTGTAGGACACAGGTTGATGGTAGATATCTTCCTCAATTGCTCTCCACCTTATTTTTGAAACACTCTTTTAATGAACCTAGAGTTTCTCAACTCAGGTAGACTGGACAGCCACTGAGCGACTAGTAACTGCCCATACTACCTCCTCAACACTGTAATTAAAGAAGTGTACAGCTATGTCTGGCATTTTTTCTATAATAACTTATTTTGTGTACATGTGTGAGCACCTGCATGTCACACCATATATGTGGCCTTTAGACAACAACCCCTTGGGAGTCAGTTTTCTGCTTCTACCATGTGGGATCCAGGAATTGAACTCAAGTTATAAGGTTTGGCAGCAAGCACCTTTACCTACTAAGTCAGCTATCCAGCCCCTACGGGTTTTTTTGGTTTTTTGTTTTTATTTTTTTTCTTATGGGCACTGGCAGCCAAACTCTGATCCTGATATTTTTGAGGGCAGACATTTTACCGACTGAGCCATCTCACTTCTTTGGTCATTCTCATCTAGTCCCCTCCATCTACCTATCCTACTTACCATAGATGCCAAAACAAGAACAACATCCTGCAGAGTTACTATGAGGTAGGAAAATCAGCACATTGCCAAAGAAAACAGCAGCATAGGAAAAGTACCTTGCTTCTAATACCAGCAAGACAGTTTCTTCACCAGGGGGCAGCTCTAGATAGGAAACAGTCACTATTCTCACATGTGCTTAGGTTCCTTAGGCATGGTAGCTGCACTGGAATCCCAGACAGACACTGCTTAGGAATACAACTAAAATTGATTTCATGATCTTTCTCCACTTGCCCATATAGGAAATCTTTTAAAACTGTCGCTGTAGTGATCATAATAACTTTTAAGAAAAATTTAATGACAAACTATTTTCCTGATTTGTATGTGTATAAAATATAAAATAGAGAACTATTTTTACCTGGAATGAGCCAAGAATATCCTTTAAGGGTTCTTCATAAAACTCATCTCTTCCAAAGAACAGGAGCAACTCAAAGAAACTCCTGAAAAGAAAAAAAAATTTTTTTCATTTGCTTTGTGGTTTTGTTCTACTTTAAAAGACTACCAAGTTGTAACATCTACCTAGTATCAGATGTTTTACATATAAATACAAGACCAGAAGTTCAATGTCACCCTTAGTCACATACCAAGTTTGAAGTCAGCACTATACTTATTCATAAGATGTAATTCTTCCTATTTTAAAATTGATTATAGCAATTCAATCATATCTCCAGACTCCATGTGTAATTCTAATTTGATCTTTCTATTTTATCTATAGTTAATTCCTCTTCTGAATTCTTGAACCTTTTAAAGTTAGCCATGCAGGTTAGAATATACTTCAAATTCCCATACATTTTCTTTCTTCTTCTTTTTTTTAATCCTCCTATGAACTACAGGTGTTTGTTTTCATTGATGAACCATTTCCACAAGGTTTATAAATTTCCCAAATCCATCAGGAGATTATTATGCAAGACAGGCACTACCTTACAAAGTAAAATTCTTGAATAAGACATGAAAGTTTGTCACTGATCATTGCACAAACAGATATATATGCATAAAAATAACATTAATCTCACTGTAGTCTTTCACTCGCTATAAACCTTGAGTGAACAGGTGCATCGATAGCAAACAGTATACTTGAAAGGACTCTCTCTTTAAGCAGTAGATTTCAAGACTGGACTCAGCAAAACATGTTGTAAACAGATGTGCAACCATTTAGTCATTATTCCACAAATAGAGCTTGAGAGATATTTAGTAGGAACCTTAAAGACCCTAGTTTTTGAGAAATGGTAGACAAGGTTCAACATAAAGTCATCAGCCATATAAGCTGTTCACAAGAGTCAGTCTGGCCAGGTACAAACTTCTTTGGCTGAGAGTTACAGCAGACTTTAAACTTTTTTTTTCTTTTTGTTCCTTTTCACTTGAATTTTTTTTTTTACATGATCCTGGATATATATGTATGCAAAACACTTACTGGTAACAATTGTAAGGATATTTATTTAAAAATACTTCTTTACTATACATTTAATTTTACCACTCACTAAAGATGAAAACAAATTTTCATACATGTTCTTTACTGTTACATAGAACATTATATATTGTACGAATATTGTGTAACATAGGATATAGAATGTTTTGTGCTTTTCAGAGTTGACTGATATTCTGGCTTTATAATCATCAATGCTAAGAATGTTCTTTCCTGGATATAAATAGCTGGAATCCTGGGGTGGGGGAAATCCCCTTGGCAGGAACATGGTTGCTCCTAAACACTTATTTATAAGTGGATATTAGCCATATTAATACACATAGCCATCTACAGACCTAAAGAAGCTAAACACTAAGGAGGACCCTAGGGAGGATGCTTAAATCTCATTTAGAATGGCAAACAAGATGACACCAGAAGCAGTGGAAGAGAGGAAACAGGATGGGAGCCTACTATGAGGATCCTCTGAAAGGATCCACCCAACAGGGGATCAAAGCAGATGCTGAGACTTAGCAGAGCACAGGGAGTCTTGCAGAAGAGTGAGGTGGGGATAGAGGGACATGGAAGGAACAGGAGCTCCACAAGGAGGCCAACAAAGCTAAGGGATCTGAGCCCACGATGTCCTGCAGAGACTGATGCACTGAGAACTATGTATGGAGGGGACCTAGACCCCCTTTCAGATGTGGCCAACTGGTAGCTCAGTCTCCATGTGGATCTCCAAGTGAGGGAGAAGGGGCTGTCTCTATCATGAACTCAGTTGACTGCACTTTGATATCTCGCTCCTGGTAATGCGGCCACGGAGGAAGAGGATCCAGGCAGTCCTGATGAGACTTAACAAGCTATGGGCAGAAGGCAATGGTGGAGAACTCCCCCTTTCAGCGGACTACGGGAAGGGGATAGTGGAAAAGAGAAAAGAAAAGGAAAGTGGGACTAGGGGGCGTTGATGGAAGGGGCTTCAATCGGGATATATAATGAATAAATTGTGAAAAAATTAAAATTAAAAAAAGAATGCTATTTCATATAAACACATAGTACAAGATGACAGATATGTTTGGGGCCTTTCAGAAATTGCTGACAATCCTGTCCTAATCCCAAACCCAAATTTATTTATTGTTTCTTTATAAGATTCAAGTAAGCTCCCAAACAGCATCCTCTACGGCCAAACATTCTAACATAATACAATACAAAGATATGCTAATTTGGTACATATATATGGAGGAATGGTAGGAAACTAGTAAGTCTTTGTTTTCCAAAATTTGACCATTATGTTTCTCTAAGTAGAAAATTTTGTATGTACAATAAGAAAAACATTGCAATTTATGACAAATATTTTTGAATCTGAGCCAAGGTGTTTAAAACAGCATTAATTGGTACTGCCTGGCCTGATAACACAGTCAGTACAAAGTATGCAAGTTTTGTGTTCAGAACCAAGACTGAAGTAAAGTTGTGTGATATAAAACAGGTGAACAGTACCAGACATCTTAAATCCATCACATACTTGAACTTGAATTAAGTTCTGGTGATTGCATGTTTCCAAACTTCAATGTCTGCCAATTTTTCAAGACCTTTTCAGTTATCAACCATATGTAATAACAGCATACAGTTTCAGAAGCTAGCCCCTAGATGGCATTATCTTCTAATACAAGGATGTCCCATCCACACTGCAAATCTGTTTAGTTTATCTATTACATGAAACATCATGGCTGCATGTGAAAAACCTTCCGATGGCCATAAATAAAAGCTTGGTCACTCAGCTTGTGGCACTGTTGGGAAGGTCCAAAAATAGTTCTTGTGTCATTGTTTGTGTGTACCAATGAAGGGAATCATGGGCCTCTGTTATCTTCCTCTCCTCTTTTTCCATGATATACAGTGTTCTCATTTATGAACTTTCCTGCCAAGATATACAGTGTTGCTAAAGGCCCAGTAATAATGACCACAAACAGAACCTCTAAAACTCTGAACTAAAATAAACCTACCCTTGGTGGCTGGAAAGATGGTTCCATGGGTAAAGTGCTACCTTTACAAGATTGAGAACCTGAGTTATGACCCTCAGCGTTCATGTAAGAGCCGAAGGCAGTGACACACACCCACAACTCCAGCACTAGGGTGGCAGTGGGTAGAGATAGATGAAGCCCTGGGACTCACTGGCTAGGCAGTCTAGCCCAAACAGCAAGTTCCAGGTTCAGAGAGAGACCCTGTCTTAAAAATTTAAGTGGAGAGCAATCAACTTCTGTCCTACACACACAAAGGCAACCCTTCACACACACATGCATACACTCCACAAACAAAAGTAATAAACCAACTCTCTTTAGAACCTGGTGATTTTCAAGTATTTTGTTATAGGAAAGAAAACTACCTAACTGACACATTCATAAATTTTTTTAGCTAGATGTTCTGGATAATTTCTTTAGCTTCTGCATCAGCATTCCTCCTCCACTTGGTACTTTTGTGTTATAGAAAAAGCTTCCTTCCTAAAAACTAACAAAATGAACCTCTACTAATATCAATCTTTTCTTTTACAGAGAGCCTTTAGAAAACTGGATCTTGTGTGCTCTTACATATATTAAACATACCGAAGTTGATTACAAAGCTAAATATCTAAACAAAAACAAAAAACAGCTATAAATCTGGGCATGGTGGCACACAGCTTTCATTAATCCCAGCATTCGAGAGGAAGAGAGAGGTAGATTTCCTCTGAGTTCCAGGGAAACCTGGTCTACATATTGAGTTCCAGGCCAACCAAGGCTACTTACTGAGAGCCTGTTTTAGGAACGGGAAAGAGAAGGGAGGGAAGGGGAAGGAGGAAAAGGGAATGGAAGGTGTTTTTTTATTTATTTTTTCTTAATTAGTGATTGATAGGGGAGAGCTCAGCCCATTGCAGGTGGTACCATCCCCAGGATGGTGTTCCTGAGTTCTATAAGAAAACAGGTTTAGCAAGCCATGGAAAAAAAAGTCAGTAAGCAGTACTTCTCCATGTCCTCTATATCAGCTTTTGCCTCCAGGTTCCTGTCCTGTTCCTGTCCTGACTTCCTGTGGTGATGAACAGCAATATGTAAGTGTAAGCCAAATAAACCCTTTCCTCTCCAACTTGCTTTTTTTTGTCATAGTGTTTCTCTGCAGCAAAAGAAAGCCTAAGTCAAGAGGGGAGGGAAAAAAAGGGGAACAGAGGGAAGTGGACAGAAGGAGAGGAGAGGGGAAGAGAGGGAAAGGGGGAAGAAAGGAAAGGAAAGGAAAGGAAAGGAAAGGAAAGGAAAGGAAAGGA